TATTGCAACTTTAATAAATTATTTCATATTTCATAAAATAATCAGATAAATGATCAGAAAATTAATTTATTTTAACCTCACATGTTTTTATATGCCATCGATGTGACAAATTTCCTAACCTCAATTCTTTGTTATTGCCGAGACACAATCCGACTTTATCGATCTTACAAATCGCAGAGATCGATATTATAGGGTGCGGTCGAGTTGCCACTGCGAATACTTCGAAGCATTACATTATTGGTTAATTTGTAAAATTCTTTCTTCTGATTAGTTAATCAAACGCTTTGAAGCAATCGTAGTGGCAACTCGACCGCACCCATAGATACACATTTATATCTCTTGCGCCAAAACTTCTAGAATGCATTTCCTCTCTCCGTAGCTGACGGCGACGACGGCGACGACGGCGACGACGGCGACGAGGACGGCGACGACGACACATTGTTTCTTACAAACACCTAAACACCCATTTCCTCGAAGGCGAACACGTAGACACCTACTTCCTCGACGGCGGACATCTAGACACTTATTTCGTCGACGGCAAACACCTAGACACCCATATCCTCGACGGCGAACACCTAGACACTTATTTCGTCGACGGCGAACACCTAGACACCCGTATCCTCGACGGCGAACACCTAGACACTCACTTCCTCGACGTCGAACACCTAGACACTCACTTCCTCGACGTCGAACACGTAGACACCCAATTCCTCGAAATGCGAACACCTAGACACTTAGTTTCTCGAATGCGAACACCTAGACACCTATTTCCTCGACAGCGAACACCTAGACACTCACTTCCTCGAAGGCGAACACCTAGACACTTAGTTCCTCGAAGGCGAACACCTAGACACTCAGTTCCTCGGAGGCGAACACCTAGACACTTAGTTCCTCGAAGGCGAACACCTAGACACTCACTTCCTCGACGTCGAACACGTAGACACCCACTTCCTCGAAGGCGAACACCTAGACACTTAGTTCCTCGAATGCGAACACCTAGACACCTATTTCTTCGACAGCGAACACCGAGACACTCACTTCCTCGAAGGCGAACACCTAGACACTCACTTCCTCGAAATCAAACACGTAGACACTTACTTCCTCGACGACGAACATATAGACAACATCTAGACACTTATTTCCTTGACAGTGAATACCTGGACATATAGGGTGCGTTCTTTTAGGCATCAGATTTGGCATCCACTGCGCATCGGATCTGCTGGCTGCGCATCTGATTTAAGAGAACGGTATTCTGCGCTCATGTTCTCAAAACGCGCAATTTTTTTAATTTAAAGAAAGATCGTACAGTACCAGTCAAATGGATACCATAATTGATACTCTACGTAACGTTTTACCGATTGTAATTGAAGATTTAGTCGATATGGATAGTGATTCTAGTAATTCTGACAGTTCAGATGAAGAGGTTAAGTATGCAATTCATACACAATTTTATTGTTTTTATTTTATCATATTAAATATAAATATAATAATATGAAAAATATATTTATAGGAGAGGAGGCAGATCGTAAAGATGAAGCATTATATGCAAGTTATTGCTAGAATGGCTCCCGACATTTTCAAAAGTCATTTTCGACTCTCTCGGACATCTTTCGAGGTATTTTACTATAATACAAAATTAGATGCGAATCAAATATTGTTAGCAATATTTTTATTAATCGAAATAGTTTTTATTTTATACATTCGGTGTATTATATATATTTTTAGATTGTGAGACACAATATATTACCTTATTATAAAGTAAGGAAAGTTCGATTTGGTAGTCATGGTATATCCATTGAGAAATCACTGCTATTGACATTATGGACTTTGGCAAATCAAGAATCATTTCGTGGGATAGGTGATCGCTTCGACATCACTCGAAGCAATGCACATAGACATTTTTTGGATATGTGCAAATGTTTACTCAATCTTGCAAATGAATATCTGCACTGGCCATCAGAAGCAGAATTCAGGTATATCAAACAGAAATTTACAACTTTGAGGGTAGGACATAGTTTCCCGAATGTTGTCGGTGCAGTTGACGGTACGCATATTCCAATACCTGCACCGATAGAAGATTCAGCCAGTTATTACAATAGAAAAGGATTTCATTCCATAATTTTACAAAGTATCTGTGATGCCGAATGTAAATTCATCGATGTATTTGTTGGATGGCCTGGTTCATCACATGATGCTAGGGTATGGCGAGAGAGTCCAATAGGTTGTGGTCTTGTAGAAGATAATCTAAGATTACCCGAAGGAACGCACCTACTAGGAGATTCCGCATATCCGTTGCATTCATACTTAATGACTCCATTTCGTGATAATGGACATTTAAGTCGAAGGCAGATCAACTACAATACAAAACTAAGTTCCAAAAGAATTGTTATTGAACAAGCATATGGTCTTTTAAAAGGGAGATTCCGCAGACTGCAATTTTTAAATATGTTTCTTGTGAACGAGATGCAAACTGTAGTTATTACATGCTGTATTTTGCATAATATTTGTATTACACATAATGATACATATGAATTCGATGATTATGAAGAAGAAAATCAACAAAATGACGAACAGGCAAATAGAGAAAACGTTTTGATTACATCCAACGGTGCAGCTGACAAGCGAAATGAAATAGTGGATTTTTTGTATCCCGGTAGATAAATATAATAAACTACGTTTATTAGAAACCGACGGCAAACTCGTAAATTGTGACAGTTTAAATTGTAATTTTTTAAATGTAATTATAAATAAAAATGTTTATGTAAGTTTGACTCTTTTTTTATTTTTAATTGAGTATATTTATTTCAAAAAATAATAATTGACATTTCTGTGAGATTCTCTTTGCATTACATATAAAATATATTATCATATTTCAACTTTAATGATACATATACATAACAAATACGAAAACAGAACCTATATAATTAAAATATATAAAACTCTTTTAAAATGTGGTACTATTCAAAAACATTAGTTTCATAAGAAAGCATAATTCCACACACAGGTTCTTATTTGTGATAAATTTTTTTAAATAAAAAATTTATTCATCATAGTGACATAAAATCAATATAATTATAAACGTTTCGGTCAATAATATGACCATCTTCAGTATAAATATAACATTAACAAAATAAAAAACTTACATAATTCAATTATTCGCTTACATAAATAACAATGCGATAAATTTTTCTTGTTTCGATCTTCATAATTGTCGTTAGCACTCAAAATACGTTAGTTTGTGTTATCTTGATAAGCATTCGTCAGAATTATAAAAAGTCCAAAATTTTATAATTCTGACGAATGCTTATCAAGATAACACAAACTAATGTATTTTGAGTGCTAACGACAATTATGAAGATCGAAACAAGAAAAATTTATCGCATTGTTATTTATGTAAGCGAATAATTGAATTATGTAAGTTTTTTATTTTGTTAATGTTATATTTATACTGAAGATGGTCATATTATTGACCGAAACGTTTATAATTATATTGATTTTATGTCACTATGATGAATAAATTTTTTATTTAAAAAAATTTATCACAAATAAGAACCTGTGTGTGGAATTATGCTTTCTTATGAAACTAATGCTATATAATTAACTTAAAGTAAAGGTCAGTCTGACTTTGATATAGTACGATAATTTATCTTAATACAGTAGTAGTATGTAGTATCACTTTTAACATATGGTAATACGCGACTTACATATTTTTGTACTTACATCACTGTGTAATTTTTATTATATTATATTATATGATTTATATATATATCTATATATATACTATATAAAAGGAACATAACCACATTTTTTATATTGTTAACATAGTTTTCAAAAATAATTAAGTAATTAAATGTGTAAGATAAAAAATAATATAAAAGCAATATCAATATTTTAAATATTATTATTTTTCAACATTGTTTTTTTTTAATTCTTTCAATGCTGCAGCAAGGTTATTTATTGCATCTATTTTATTTTGTTCTATTTTCTTTTTTTCTTCCCACCTCGTTTTTTTAAAGTTTAGCACATTATCCTGACAAAATCTATTATTACGTTTCTTTTTGCTAGATGGACTATTATCAAATACTTTATTGATAGGTGAATTTTCAATATCTTCAGAGCATTGTGTTGTATCGCTATCATTTAGAAGTTCAGCATTATGAATCACTGATGGACTTTCATCAATAACATTATAAGTCATTGCAGAATGAATTGGATTTGAGATTTTAAGTGTAGATCCCAAGGTTTCTGGTGCTGGACAGACACTTTTTTTGTGACTAAAGACTGCATGCATTAATTCAAAATATTCCCAAGTAATTGCACTTTCTCCAGACTTTTTCATCTTATCCACATTTCTGTTATATGTCACCATAAGATTTTTCCATTTTGCTTGTAAATCAGCGGCAGAGTGTGGATATCCATGTTGTGCAAATTCCTTACTTATTTTTTCCCAATATTTAGTTTTTTTGCATTTTGGATCTGTAAAAAGGTCATCAAATGCAAGTCTTTTCTCGATCAAAAGTTTTATTTGTGCAGTTGACCAATTCACTATTTTCTCTGTAAAAATTCATGTATGATTAAACAATACAATATTTTGATTAAATTAATAATAATTCCTAGGAACATCATTTTTTGTTACCTGACTTTGCCTTGGCAGTATGAAATTCTAAAGCTGACTTTCCAAATACCTCTGTAGAACTAATAGTGAAAGAATTTGAACTCGCCGGAGTGTCAAAATTGTTTGCGATACATTCTGAAAACATGAATAGTATATTTTAATGCATCAACACCTAATTTATTTTGTATATAAATGTATAATTCTAATAATATTTCACGAATAATGCACAATTAAAAAGTACATTTGTCATCACTCAAAACAAAGCGAACCGATCGAGTTCATTTTTAAGATATCCAAAATATAACCTAAAAATAAATAAAATCTAAAATCACATTATAAATGTGTGTATGTACCTTCAGGTTCCAATACGATTGATTTCTCGGCATTGGAAGTAAGATTCTTGCCATCAAGAGACGTTTGTACATTAGCTGGATCAAAAGAATAAACAACGTTACATATACATTTGCATACAATAAATTACATTCGCAATTCAAAACTTACAATTCATCAGGAACTCTTGTATTTTTGAAGCGTCGATGGTAAATATTTGTTTTTCACCTGATGGCGACACTTCAGTATAAAAATATACGCTTTCATCGCCCATTTTAATAAATTTCTCCTGCAACTCTTTAAACTGCCACTCTTTTTACGACCATACTAGAT